AGACTCTTTGATACAGGAGAAGGCCTCCCCTTTCTGGTTTGAGTTTTTTAAATCATTGAAAAAAATGAGCAAAAGGACGTGGTGACTGACTAAGCTGAGCACATGATGTGTTTGTTTCATTTATTGAACTGAACTGCAACTTCTCCTTATTTTTGTGTTGTATGTTTTTGTGAAACTTCCTCCCTTTCAAGGTCAGTGCTGTGGTTTCTCCGGTTCTTACTGCCATAAGGGACACAAAGCAAAAGTGTTTCCCTGAGGTTCTGTCTAACAGCTTTCTTGTTTGACCGCAGCCACATGTAAACGTTCCACCATAAGAAATGGGGCTGTTTGTGAACAAGCAGTGTCATCTGTCTTTGTCGCATTTACTCCCCTCAATCTGCACTTAAACAAGAGGGTCAGGAGTGGAAATGTGATGGCAAATTCAGAAACGGGTGATAAATGATCATGCAAACAGTTCACCCATTACCTAAACACATAGAAATGGCTTACGTTGACTTAGATCATTTATAGGCCAGTGTTGTGGATTTTTAAATGCTTGTTGTAGCATATGGTGTCCAGATCCTCAGCATCACTTACCACCAGACTCAACAGTTGACAAATGATTTAATGCATCTTTTAATAAATGTTTTCAAGCAAATCTTGGGAAATTATTGCATTCAGGCAAATCACATTATGTGTTTGAGAATAAGAGCATTTAGCCATCCTTGTGTGTGGCAATGATGGAACTCTATAAACGAGCCCAAGAAGATAAAACAAAGTGGAAGAAGACTTGACAAGAGCAGCAAAGAACACTCCTGTTTAACCCTTTTGAGACAAGAGGTGTGGATCATTAGTATTTAAGGAGATCCCTTAAGCGCTGAGCTCCTCTGTCGTTTCAGAGAACAAAGCTGAGAGCCGACGGACGAGTAAGGGTTAAGCAGAGGGCATGGAATAACCAGAGGAAGTCTGTTGTCAGTGGACACAGAGCAGACTCCCTTTTCATGCCATTGTGATAAAAAGCAAGTGGATACTTGAGGCAGGAGAGGGAGAGGCATGGTGTCTGGATGGGGATGTTGTGCAAAACAGTATTGGTGATAAGCAAATGAAGCTTTGGCTGAAAAGCAAGAGGAGGAAAAAATCTGAAAAAGGGGGTACATTTTAAAAGAATCGGGAAATTGATTTAATTATAACTATCATTAAACCATTCTGATATGAAATGTTTTATGTCACGTTTGTCATTTTACACAAAAGCAACGATGATTTCTCTCTGACCCTGAAAAAGCAAACAAACAAACAAAAAAGAGGCAGCGCGACTCTGTAAAGCAGGGGGAGGTCCGATGGCGAAGCTGGGATTGGGGCCGAGATCATAACGCCTTTTGTCCCACCAAGTGTTGGCATCATACTGCTTGTATGCAGTCAGTGAAATGTACCTGCTGAAGCAGACATGGTGAAAGTAAACTGTAAAATACGATGATAATGTCCTCAGTAATGACCTCATTTTTCAAAGTGGTGTATCAAAAGTTAGTTCGGAGAAGCTGTATAGATTTGTTCTCCTCTCAGAAAGGTAGATATATTGTCTCCATCTTTTAAAATGTGTTTGCATTCGCCTTGTTGGCACAGGTTATTATTCCCACCCTCTTTTGTCTGTTCTGCACCAGCAAAGAGGAGGCGCTGCTCCTGAACCAGTTTTCCTGGCTGAAGGATGGCTCTCTTGGCTTTCAGATGGAAAGGAGTGGTGTGATCTGAGGCTTCAGGAAATTCAGTATTCGCTAGAATGTAGTTTGACATCTGTGGCTGATAATCAGCAATTGCTGTGTTAATGAATGGGCTTCTAAATGAATAACCTAAATAAATGACCGCTTTTATGTTTCCTATGAAAAAAAAACAAACGCCAAAGACCAAAAGGATTCTAGGACGACGGTGGTGATGTCATTGGCACTTACTGCCTATCAGAGCATTTAAAAAGTAAAAAAACATATAAATATATTTTTTTCTTTTTTGAAGAGATCTAGAAGGATAAAACTATGAGCTGTGCTTTGTGGATTTTGCTGACAAATTTCCAGAAGAGCCTTAAACCTTTAGAACAATGCGTCATTTGTGTGACTATGAATAAGGTATTGTTTTGATTTAGAAGAAGAAGTATAAGGGGGGAGGTGTTGTGTACACCTCTTTCCGAGTGAGGCAAGATATGGCAAGACCTGGCTGTGTGTGTCTGAGCTAGTTCACACTCCGGCGGTTCGCTGTCATGACATCATCGATATGACTCAACCAGCGCTTCTGCTAAGCGTGTCTAACTTCCTCTGGTTTGTTCCTGGGCTCGATGCGGTGTCATTATGTTGTAGTTGACTGAAACCACAATTGGAGAAGCACGTACAGCTGGGTTTTCTGATGTACTACCCTACCAGCTGTTGTTATCTGAGTGGTGTCTAACTGTATATACCCAGTCTAAAGCTCTACTTCATAGGACTCTGGGTTTCCTTTTTCTTTTTTTTTCAATATTCCAGATAGTTCTTGTTTCTCTGATCTAAATCAGGGCTTTCAAGGAGAGCAAAATGCCCTTGTCTCATGGTAAACTGTTACAGTGGGTATTTATTTGGTACACAGCAAAGTGGTGGTCACTGGCTCATGAGTAAAATAAACCAAACCTTTTCTAGTAAAAAGGCCTGACTGTTATTTCTTCCAACTCAAAGGGAACTTGGGTGGAAGAAATGCCACATTTAAAATTTGTACTTTGTTATCATGCTGAAGTGTATTTGTACTCAGGATCATTAGATAGCATTGTTTAGCCATTCCTTCTCTGTTATTGTTTCTCTTTTTGTTACCGCACAAATATTGTTCTTCCTTGAGCTGCATGCGAGCAAAGGTCACGGTCAAACACGGGTATTGAAGCTTGCATTGAACATTTTCTTTCTGTTGTTGTTGTTTAGCTTTTTTGCCTGGCTCTGCCGACTGAAAAAGTGTGGTAGATATAGAAGAACTGTGACGCTTTCCATATGACTCCAGTAATTTTTAGCCCAAAGTGGAGCCATCTGACTTGAGTCAGAAGCTTGACCACGACTTGACTCGAGTTTGGCGCTGAACACTGAACTCAAGAAGACTATGACCAAATATATTTTTGTGTTGTGGGCGTTGGAGTTCTCTCTTTCCAAAAACTCTTGTTGTAGTTGTTCTCAGACATCATCAGAGTTATTAGGCTGAATTCTCAGCTCCAATGAGGTGAATCATGGGTAAAGTTGTATTCACCTCACCAAATGACTTGTTCTTTAGTCTTGCTTTGTCCGTTGGTCCTTCTGTTCTCAAGATGTATGTTCCTTATCTTGAAAATGATTCAATTGGCAGTCCTGATTCATGGGAAAGCACTTCTTTCAGCAATTGTTTAAGAGAGTGGAGTTTGGTGTGGAAATGGAACCTTTAAAAAATATTTTTGTTGGCAATGACAGTGGTCTTTTTTCTTTTTTGTGCTGTCTGACCAAATGCAGTGAATGGGACTCAGTAAATATAAAGTTATAGTTTCATAGTCAGAATGGTGATGTTAGTAAAAAAAAAAGTGAAACACTTTTGGCTCCTCGTTATTTAGCATGAATGCGTAACTATTTAAACGCAGAATGAGCTTAATTTTGCAGCTCTTAAAGCTTCAATTGCATTTAAAATGTGTTAAGTTCCGTAAACACATGGTCATGATTACGACAGTTTGGAAGTGTTGTACGTTTGTCCTGAAGCTCAGGTATTTAAAGCTGTTTTGCACCGCGCTCCGTTTAAAGGAAACTGCTTTAGGCAAAGAAATAAAAATGCTCTTTTTAGACTACCAGTGTAAATTCCCCCAAGCGAGTTAGAAAATCCTGGATGACTCAGGCTGAGTTTTCAAAGCCAAAAATGAACTTTTCCTAGTGGACAGCTCATTGCCTGTGCTCTCAGCATATTAGTCGCGCGCCGATTTGAAAATACAGCTCTGGATGTTGACATCTCTCCGTCTGAACATCATTCTGAAAATCTTGGCTCCACAAGGTCCTCCACAATTTGACCCACATTCATCGTTTTTGTTTCATCCCTCTTTGCTCAACACATAATGCTTCCATTCAGTCTCATCGTCTCGGCCTGCTCATGAACCTTCAGACCCTGAGCTGAGCGAACAGCAGCAGCACATCTGGGTGTGTTGCTTATGTAGTCGGAGGCTGCTGTAGTGTGGGTGGTGTGTTAAATCAGGTATCGACATGCAAGCCGTCAGAGCAATGTAAAGGTCCACAGACCAGATACGATAAGATATCATTCTCCCACGCAATAGTTTTCGTGCATAAATATCCAAAAGTAGCTTGCGAATAAAGGAATAAACATTCTGCTTTAAGCGAAGTAGATGTAAACTGAGGAGAAATATGTTGCCAAATTTAGAATAGGAAAAGAGGAAAGGATGGGGCCCAAACTGAATGAAAGAAGGGTGCAAGTCAGCACAAAGCTGGCTTTGAGGCGAAAGGTACCAATCCGGCTTTTTTTTTTCTTTTTTTTTTTATAGCAAAGGAGGACGTCATAAAGGGGGGCTCTTATTTCAGGGAGCCAAAGCACACTTGACACCATATGTCAGGTTGCCAGGTGTGGCATCCACATTTCTAACGGAAAAGTTGTGTTCATGTGTAGTGTCTCTTTTAAGTTTATTTCAGTGTTTATCCACTGGTTCATTGACAAGCAGCTCTTTCTGTATATGTGCCTCAGCCTCTGTTACTGTTTGGGAACAGTTTAACTTCAGGAATTAACGTTTAAAGTGCCAAAAGAGACATGCGTTTTTGTGGCAAGCGATATGAATGTTATGCAAACTACTAAAAAGGTTGTACTACAAGGGATGTTTGTTATGGGATCAGTGTTTTTGTATGGCATCGACTATACAGCTCTGGTGAGCACAGATCTATCTGTCCACTGCACCATCAGTGAGCGGTTACAAAAGTGCGATCGTCATATGTGGTCAGCGGGCATCAGTTACAGTCCACTCGTATGAAATGAATCACCGTGGTCTCTTTCTTCCGTCTGTCCAGGTCCCTGAGATCATCAGTACGTTGAGGCAGGCTGGCAAAAGCTCAGCACGCAACGATGACATCACCGCTGTTCCCTGCAAAGCTTCCTCCGGCCCCGGACGAGGCGACTCCTCCGACGCCGGCTGCTCTTCCCTCTCTGCAGCGACAAACTCCACGGCCCCCACTTGCGCCGTGTCTCCAACAACCTTTGCCAAAAAGTTTGAGGTACTGTTTTGCGGCCGAGTGAGCGTCGCGCACAAGAAGGCCCCGCCAGCGCTAATAGACGAGTGCATCGAGAAGTTCAGTCAGATGCACGGCTCCAGGACACCCGAGAAGGGAGGAAGCGGTGGCGGATTGGTCGGTGGGTTGAAGAGGGCATTAAGCTTCCAATCCAATGGACTGGGCGGGAGTTCTGTCGGGAATGGTGCCGCAGGGAACGCACGCCCTGTTCTGTCCAAGCGGGACCCCAGCTTCCCCAGTCTGCAGGCCCTGGATGAGAACGGCCTTTCACCAGAGATTTCCAGCACTGACACTACTGATCCACTGGACGGCTCTCGAAAAGTACAGCCCACCAGCCTGCAGGAGAACAGGACCATGCTGTTTACGGTAACACGGACACTCACACCATAGTCTCACACCTGAAAAGGTTTGGAATATTAAGGAGTTTAGGGTTAATCGAGCACTCATACTTTCAGTTCAGCTGTGAATGCAGTCTGAAAATGTGTTTCCGTGTAAAATGCAGGAAACGCTTAAACTATCATGGAAATTTAGTTAAGTCACAGTGATGTCAATTGTTGATTCACATGTTGAAGTCGAGTGGAACAGTTTGTCCTTCACCTGTTGTGTGCAATCAATAGATCTGACCCAAACCATTAAAGTGACGCACTCCTTTTGGTTAGCTGTTTGTCCCTCACTGGGGAACCATTTAGCTTTTTTACTTTTTTGGGACTAAGTGGACAAAGAGGACCCATCGACAAGATGACAAAGTAACAAAGCTATCAAGCAAAAGAAGTACATTTATTTCTGTGGTCTCAAAGACCAGCAGGGGGCCCCTACGTGACGTCCTGCTGAACATTATAAAGGATACAAGTATCAGTGGGATCATTTTCAGATTTAGTATAGGGACAGGACTTACCAAAAATCTCTGTTCCACTGTGCTTCCGGTCACTCAAATCTGACATCTGACATCTTGTTTGTTTATCATAGAAACCACCAAGCATATGTGTATTTTATTTGCCCGTAAATGGGTTATTGAATTAGGTGCGTGGAGAGGGGGGGGGCAAAAGCAAAAGCTGCTACACATTCCTTGCAGTCTAATTTGAGTAAGATGACACGATAGTGTCTCATTATTTTTTTCCATAAAAGATGCTTTTGTGAAACGAATGGACCAAAATAGGACAGCTTCTCCTATAAACTTCCACCCATCTATGCTCATGCTTGAGTAGTTTTCTAATAATAATAATCATGTGCAGTTTTGGATTCTGCAAACTCATCCATGCCACTCACAGAGAACAATGAAGAATGGAACAACAACATAAAAATGTCATATCGACTCAGCAAGAGCGAACGCTGACTGCTGCCCAAAACGACTGCAGTCACAGTCCTGATTGACCTTGATTACCCTCAGTGGGGTTTTTTTTTGCCAGCAGGAATTTTCCTGTTTGAGTCTCAGGCAGGAAATGGACATCACTGGCCCAGGATCCACCAGGGCCTGTAACTGTCACACTCAGCAGATTCTGACTTCTTTTTCACACTCGTTCCACATCCTGTTACGGCCAGAGTGACCTCACCCACGTGCCATCATCTGCTCTTTAAACAAAAAAAAGTATTCCCTCCCTCTGTATTAAAGGCTTTTCATATTCTATTTTGGGGGCAGTTCCTTTGGTTGTTTTAGGATTTATAGTTAATCATTTACTAATGATGTGACTGGTTATCCCCTTAATACACCGATATACTAAAATTAACAGAGAAAGAAATGTGAATGCACCACCTGATGTATGAGGGAAATACTAAAATAATATGTTTTTTTGGCCATCTTGTGAAGACAATCTTCTGTTTTGTTAATTTACGTTGGAATGACTGTTGTGATTTAACTGTATTTCTTACCATTCCTTTCTTGGTGTTTTAGGTGGGAAAGTCCCAGATCTTCTTGGTCAGTCCAGACACTAAAAAAGTTGCCATAGAAAAGAGTTTCAGAGAGATCTCCTTCTGCTCACAGGTAGAAAGCTGGACATCTCTACTCTGCCACACCTTGTATGACTTTGTGCTCGATTTAGAATCTCTTTTCTTTGTTTTTTTCTTTTTTGCCTTGTCCAATCTCCAGGGGATTCGTCACGTTGATCACTTCGGCTTCATTTGCAGGGAAACGGTGGAGGGGGGAAACTGTCACTTTGTGTGCTACGTTTTCCAGTGCACTGATGAATCACTGGTGAGATTGCATAAATATGGATTCCTCTCACTTTTCTGCTTCCCATCACAACCCCACACATCACAATACATTCCAGATTACAATATATGGGACAGTAAATCCAGGTCATGCTTTAACACAGCTGTAAAAGCTCAGAGTCAACCTATTGTGGAACTGTCAGAATGAGCTTAGGACACAGTTAATGACCAGAATTACTTTATGATGGCTTCTCAGTGCTTCCTACTCAGTGTTCTTTTCAAACCAGTCAGTCTCCCCCAGTGGAGCAGTTAGTGACTCAGTCACGTTTTCCATCGGGTCATCTATTTGAAATACGGCTCTGTAACATAATTTTCATAGACATGCATACTGAGGTTTGGCAGCCCAGCCAGGCTAAGCAGTTGGGGGGTGAGAATATTGGTCAGACAGTTAATCCAACAGGCTCAAGGCCATCATGTACTGAAACCTGAATTCTTTTGTGATGAGAGAACGTTCCAACCCGTAAAGAAGTCAGTAACTGTGCGTTTATGATGTGGCAGTCAAACAGAAGCTAATCTGCACTGATAGCCTGCTGGGAGTTAGCCAAATAGCACCTGAATGACACTATGATCACAGGATGCTAGTAATTTTGATTTGATGGCACACAAATGTAATTGTTAACTGACCGCAATTCCCAGCAGAATGAGGAAACGAGACACAGAGCTCTCCCTGATTGAGCCCATCCCTGCAATAAAACATGGTTTGAGGCTTTTGTACAGCTTTATTGGAGAACGTTTTGTCGTTAGAAACATGGATGCAGAGAAATGTTAAGATGTCCTAAGAAAAGAAGAAAAGTTCTTGGAGTTCTCTTTTGGTAAAAATGTGAGAAACAAAAAGCATAGAGTGACCACTTTCAATATGAAGTAAAGCTCTGATCATACAACCATGCCCCTCTGTATCACGATGTGCCTATCGGATTCTGACTGATGGAAAGTTTACTCCACCGTTTGAGTTTTTCTGCGCGAACAATGCTTCTAAGATATTCCAGATTTAGTCTCTCAGCCTTATGCAGATTTATTGGTTGAGCAGGAGGATTTCCAGCAGCCATTCTGTCATTTTAAAGGCACATCTGGCACACTGACTGACGTCTTGTTTTACTCCTGCAGGTGGATGAGATCATGCTGACTTTAAAGCAGGCGTTCTCTGTGGCAGCCCTGCAGCAGAATGCAAAGATGCAGAACCAGCAGTGTGACAGTTGCCCAATGCAGCAACTCCACAGGTTGTGTGAGAAAATAGAAGGTAAGAAGAGCTGGTCAAGTCCAACTTAACAGATTTTAAACATGATCACCCATCAGACCAATACACGCTCTTTCTCTTTACTCGCTTACTGTTAACTAATTAAGTTTAGTCTTGGCCTACTACTGTAAACTACATTTTACTTTTATACTTTTAAAAATAACCACAAGTCAAACTTTCAGAGGAGGTATTATAGTGCCAAATTAAATGGGCAAGAAGCCACAATCCAAGGACCCTATCAGCATATGTATATTATCTTGAATTTAAAGTGAGATTGCTCTTGTCTGTGTTCTGCTTCGAATAAATAACAGAAATATGTTTTGTATTTTTATTTTTTTGTATTATTGTTTTTAGGTCTGCACCCATCTAAAACCAAACTGGAGCTTCAGAAACACTTGGCCACTTTGGACAATGACGAGCAAGCTTCAGTCTTTGAAAACACTATGGTAATGTTTCTGTTCCATCTGTGGACCTCAGGGGGAAGGTGCACATTCCACAGGTTCCTCTTGAGGTGACTGCAGCTTCGAAACAAACCAGTCCGACTGCAATCTCAGTTCAAAAATCAATGCGGAATCACGTTTTTCCACGTGGGTGGGGGGGTGGGGGGGAAACAGTGGCACCCATACTACTCCAGCCGCCTTTTATTTGATGCTTTCGTTGCCCTCAATTGTTTTTTGACCTGTTGGATTGTTTGGGCACCTTCATTTAACAAAGTAACTGTTAATCTCAGCTTTTCCTTTCTGCAATGGTGCAGTTTGTTGAAAAGCAACAGCAGGCATGTGACAGACTAGAGGGCATTTTTCTCTTCAACTCAGGTGACATCTGCTGGTGATTTTGTTCAAGTACAACTCAATGAAAATTAAACTGTCACACGTTAGACACGTCAACTACATGTGATCATTTAAAAACATGATCTTCCCCAGATTGAGGCCCTCGACCCCAATTCAAGTCCATGTTATAAATTTTTATCTTGTGTAATTTTAGAATGTAGCAACCAGTAAGCATTGTTTTTTTCCCCCACTCATTTATTTGAGTCCAGATGTTAACCACATATGACATAATATTGTAGAATATTGTGTGTGCTATAAAATTATGTTTTACTTTTGTATGTCCAGCGGGCTCGTCCTAAAAACGATCAGGAAGAAAATGAGCTAGTTATAGCCTGTCTGCGGAGTCTGTATGAGGAGAAACAGAAGAGCCATCAGCACCCTCTGCCTGGAGACGGCAAACAGGTACACTCAATTCATTCTAAGACACATAAACACTGCTGTACCAGCATATTTTGAACTGTTCCTTCAATTTAAAAAAAACATTAACACAAATCTTTTTTACGCAAGTACTGTTCTACATTTTTTTTTTCCAATTTGAATGATGCCTGCAAAAAGTCCCATTTTCCTTTGAAGGGCCCTTTTACAATAGGTGTTTTTGTCTGACTCTTCTTCCTATTTGCTGTGTTTTTAGGTTTGTGAGGAGGCTGCTCCTGCACCCCAAGAAGCGCAGCAACAGAGTAGCAGTCGGCAGCGTCTGGAGCAATTCAAGAGCCGAGCCAAACGCTCTCTCACTGAATCCCTGGAGGGGATCTGGAAGGTGTGTCATCTGTCAGACTTGCTTTTGTATGTGATGATTCACAATTATCTTCTGTTGCCCGAGCAAAGCAAGTATTTGATCTTTCAAAAGAGTTAATATGTAAACAGACATAAAGACTCGCCCTTAAAGGGATTTTCCTTTCATTTCCCAAATACTACGAAACCTTTCAAACCTCTGTTCAGATAATTAAAGGAAATCTTTCTTACAAGTTTTTATTATAATGCGTGGGTATAGGACCGTTTTCATAGAAAATCTATCCAACCGAAGCCTGTTATCATTACTGCTACATTACTTTTAGCTTTTGAAGCAAAAGGACAGGTTCATCCATGTGAGCGTAGCCTGAACTGGGTTGCAGCAAAAAATATGGGTCAGTCCACCTGGTTCTTTCCCCTACTGCTGTCCATGTGGACTGTCAACATGACCTTAAGGTGCCACTCACACACACACACCCACACATACACACACACTTCTATGATCTCATGCGTGAAAGTTGAGATGTTTTGCCACAATGCTGGCATTCCGTTTGGGTGAAACCCAAACACAACATACCAGCACAAACACCTCCTAAGCACTGTCACACACAATATCTGCAGTTACCGAGTCCACCATGAACTCCTCCGTATACTGCAGTGTTTAAAGGACAAACATTGAAACCACCTTTGTGACAGCTCAAACTTTTCTGAATCTGGGTCAGGAAAAAGAGAAAAAGAAAAAGGATCTGCGTTGGAGCGGTCCTGTCACAGTGCAGGTCTCAGTGCCATGGAAACGCTGCAGGACCTTAAGAGACGGGCGCATAAACAAGTGTTTGCAAGCCTCAGTGAACTGATGCAACATCGTGCTGAAGTGAGGGACAAAAAATCTTTTGCAGCAATCTGATCGGGTGAAAATCTTTCCAGTCGGTTGGTCTGCCCTACGTGCTATTTAAAAAAATAGTAAACCCAGTTTTTCCACTCACGCCTTTCACTTTGTTTGTTAATTTATTATGCTCCTGAAAATTAATTTACCAAGTTCAACAAGCATCTTGAGCTTCAGAGGTTCTACCTGGTCAGGATCGTGTCGCCTGGGTGATCTGAACACAAGTGGCTATTCAAAATCACACTTTGTTGCTTCAGACCTGTCTGGAGATGGATAACGCTCAGCAGGCCCATACTTTTTGTAATATTACAGTGGTCCGTTTGCATTTGAAAGACATGAGTATGACCCGAGCACGTTTGCTTCGTGGCAGGGAAGCGGCAAGACCAGGCCTCAGCGGGAGAACAGCGAGGGAAGCGAGAGCGGCTCGTCCATTTGCACCGTCATCAGCAGCCAGGATCAGCCCTGTCTGGATGACCCCTTGCCTGCCTCCTGTCAGCTACGACCCACCAGTCCCCTCAAGTAAACCATGCAAGACGCATGTCTGCAAATGTTGGGCCCTACACATTCTGATACCTGCTCACTGGTTTCCTTAAGCTTACAGCTACGGGTGACCTGAGTCTTATCCATGCCATTTATTGCTTCTCTCTCTATGCTTGTCAGAGGCCACAACTCGACAGGAGACCTGAAGCGCCTTGAGACCTCTTTCCCCCCGTCCCCCTCCTCCTCTCTCGCTGACGCCGAGCCTCAGGGTTTCCGGCGTCGGGCTAGCACCTTCAGTCATTCCCCCAGCCCTTCGTCAGCACTGGAATACTCCCCACTGCACAAAGAAACTAACACCCCGCAGGACAGCGGCGCCGTCGCCAAGCCCAAGCTCGTCCGCCACTACTCTGTCAGCACAGACTCCCCTCACCAGAGCAAGTAAGGGGGTGTGTGTGTGTGTGTGTTTGTGTGTATTTATGAGGTGGTAAATGTATGTAATTTAGTGTTTTAGCTCATTTTATAATACAGCTTTATTACACACACTGGACTGTGAATGCAGGGCTTCTTATTCACTGTTACAGGGACTGAATTAACATCTCAGCCCACCAACAAAAGGACAATTTTCTTTAGTTTTTTTTGTTTCGTTTTTACACCCTTACAAGCTTTACAGGCTAACGACTGAAAGTTTTATACAACTTTCACGAAGACGGTTGCAAAGCCAGTTTGGGAAGTATGTATTGATCTTTCTCCTCCACGTCATTCCGAAGAAAGAAAACTAAAACTTGTTTGGCACGTGCAGTTTATACTAGAGTTATATTGTTGGTGCGTCAGTGTAGCTGTCAAAGTTCACGTTTTGGGGTTCTTTTCCTTTTCTCTTCTTCTTTTTCACAAAGCATGCCATCAGTGAGTTTTTTGCATCACAGGTGTATTAGCATAGATGCACTGTACAGTGTATCTATGAATCTATACAGTGTACACTGTTTATTTCAGTTAAGTGTAAGCATAATGCCCCACCCTTCGCCTCAAGCACAACCATTTTCCTTGTTTGCCTTTGCTGGTTTTAGTTTAATAAACTTTTTGGAATAGAATAAAACTTTATTGATTCCCCAAAGGGGAAATTGGGACTCTGTGTGTTAGTTCGTGGTTTAAAAAATCATTTTAAAGGGGAAAAACAGAGCATGCTATTTTCATACATAGCAGCCACTGCCATTTAGGTTGGACCTCAGGCTAACCCTATCATAACAGAGAGCCAAAACTCTTCCAGCTTTGCCAAAACTTGATACTTGGCTGTTTTTTCTTCACTGCACTTTTTGTTTTTGTTCTCATGCATTTCTCAGTGTCCATTACCATCTCTTCTCTCATTCCCTGTGTTTGTACTGGTTGTCAGAAATGTCCCAACCGACTCTACGCTTCCTCCTCTTCCTCCCTGCCCTCCATCATACTCTCCTCTCCTCTTTCACCATCCTTCCTCACCTTCTGCTGGAGCCCGGTTCAATAAAAGAAGGTGAGAGTTTCTTTACAGCTCTCTGCTGTATCTATTCTGTCCTGTTTGTCACATTTGATTCTTCACACCTTTGCTAGATTTCACCCACCATGTTGTCATTTAAGTACCCATTCAAGCAGAGAAATGGAAATGGTGGCTCATATTTTGCCATTTCAAAGCTAGTTCATATTCAAATTGTATTTCCTCATCAAAAGACTTAAAATTCTATTGATGATTAAAAACAACCAAGCTACGTATCTCTGAGTGAAGTGGGTCATGTTTCATTTGTCATCTGTTTTTGCCTCTTTTTTTCTTTTATATTTCTTTCTTTTATCACCTCTATCTCAGTCCCCTTGGTGGTCTGCGTGCCCGCCTCCAATCCTCCTCCTCTGTCCCTAACTTTCTGAAATTTCAATTTCTGGCCCCTGTCCAAGAGAATGATAGTCCTGAACCAAAAACGAGGTATATGCACATACACAAATACTCACGTCTGTCCCAGTAACGTGTATTCAGTGTGCTTCCATTTTTGTTTAAAAAAAAAAAAAAAAAAGGTTTCTGTCCCACAGCTGTAGGTGTGAAGCCCCTGCATGGCACTCATCCGTGCACATGTTTGTGCTTTCAGAGACGTAGCAGCTCTCTCAGCATCCCGGGCAGCAGGTGTTGTGGGTGACAGCCCCCTGCGCAGCCACCGGCACTCATGGAGGCAGCAGATCTTCCTGCGAGTCGCTACACCTCAGAAAGGCACGGACACCTCCGGTAAGAACAAACGCATTCAAGCTCCCTTTAAAAAGCACATTTTCGATTGCTTTTAAAAAAAAATTTTTTTACAGCAGACAGTCTGTGCTCTTGCACAAGGTGGCTTGTTCCATCCGGTCGCTTACAGCTGCCTTTTGTTGCCGCTAGATGCTCAAAAGTAACCAGAATGTTGATTAAAATCTGTTTTCACCATATCCTTTCCCCCTTTGAGAGGTAAACATTTCTACGTTGAAGACTACATCCCAGACTTCCTTCACTTGAAGTCAACAGTCTATCGTCCTGCGTCCTTTTAAGCCCGTAGAGCTGATCATAGTCAAGTAAATGTGGGGCATTTAGCGGAGGTTGTTTTGTTTTTTTAAACAAAAAACAAACAAAAAAATCTATCACCTCAAAAACATGAATTGAAATCTGTTCCCTTGGAATGTTTCCTTAAGCTACCTTAGATGTGTTTTATATAACTCTTTGATGGACACTATTATTTCTTTAGAACAGTAGTAATTCTTTAGACGCACATGAAGCATATCATTTGTTTTTTTTGTTTGTTTTTTATCAATTTTGACCGCCACGCTTTAAACTGTTTCATGTCAGCGTACATTATTGCTAAATTTCTGTTTATTAATTTATTGGCCTACAAGATGGTCTGATTTAAAAAACAGAACATCGACATATGAGCACTTGATTTAAAGATCTTTCAATATTCAAACAACATACAAAAAATATAAGTGCGTCATCGCCAGTATGCTTATTTGTATTTTTGTTTAGGTTTATATTTCATGGCTTACTGTGGAGCATCTTAATCTTTCTCGAAAATCCAGAATTTCTTTATTTTGACCTTACTTACTTAAAGGCTATTAAGACTGAATTGACTTGACAAAAAAAGTCAAACTTTCCATATGAACGAATATTACAAGAAGATATAGGTTTTAAATGGAGGAATACTGACTGCACCTTCGCTGACAAGTATATGTACTCTTTCCACTGTGCAGAGACTCTTTGGAAACATGCATGTGCTTGCACAGCTTTAGAGCCTGTGTTTTGATAATGATATAGGCTTGTGTGCATATAGCACCACAAGTGTTGACAGTTTAGGTTGTCAGTTTAGTCACGCTATGACACCGTCATGCTACTTGCTGTACATTTTTGGCAGAGGTTTTTTCTTATTAAAACATTGTTCATGCATCACTTATGTTCATTCAGATAGATTTTGACAGATAAGTTAACAAAAAATGTGATTTTACAGATTTTTATTTAAGTTTTCGTATCCGTTTAAAGATTTTGTGATATGACAAGAAAGCCTAAGGACTGTGGGTGCTTAGTTTGCAGCAGAGCAAATGGAATCACACACTGAGCACCAGCCCTGATGATCTGAGCACTGGACCAAAGTGTTCACATTAACAAATTTTCTGTGTCCAGAAGACAGCCGCAGTCAGTACTTACCGACATGATCAGGACTAATTCCTGACTATCCCTCCAATTTTGTTTTATTTCTGTCCACTTGCACGTTACTGAAACTTCCCACCTTTAAAAGAAAATAATGATTTAATATTGGTATTCTGTTTAAACCGGCACACATTTCAGCGAATGACAGCACAATAAAAAAAAAAAGTGACAGAATTTCACAGCCAAATTTTTTCATGGGAAAAATGAACTCAGAATGGGAATCTGTAGGATCCCGAACCCCCCAGATGTCCATAAATAACGCCTTCCTTACTTTGCTGCCTTGAATATGGCCCGCCCGAATACTGTTTGATTTGTATCCTCTGTTTTGGCGACTACTGAATCCTTTTGTGGCTCACACCCAAGCTATCTGATAACAGCCAAACATAACTGCTGATAATCCAGATGAAGCACACAAGCCTGCTGCTAATTTCCTCATAGGCATAATTTCAAACGTTCACTTTGAACTGAAAATGCAGGGAAACACATTGAGCGGAAAGCTGCGCCACAGTGTGTCTTTTTGTTATGTGACCACTGGGGGATGCCAAAGTTGATCCTTTCCAACCCTCAAGAAATTGTTGCTTCAGCAAAGCGTTGCCACTACAAATACTTCATTTTAGCTCAATTGATAACTCCCCAAGCAGCAGCAAAAAAACATTTTCCTCACAAAAGCTCATTTCTTTGTGGGTGTATTGTAACTTCAAGTGTTCCCATCAGGTTAACTGCTGTACACACCCATGTGGATTTTTGTTCAGGGCCAGTGATTGTATCTCATAAGTGCATCATGGAATGCGGGGCCATTGTATCCCTTTTATCCACCGTGTTATCGAATATGCCGTTCATTAGGGATTAGAGAGATTTGCGCTCCTTTTTGTGTGCCTGGTTACCCTTTCAGCAGAGCGCTAAACTGGCGGGAAGGCATCTGTCCGCAGCACTTAAAAAGTCTGCGCCCAGACTTTAGTTTTGAGTCAGCTGCCGTCAAGTGTCGGAAAAACAGGTCAACGCGCTGGGCTTTGTTCTGGATGAATGCTGCTCTGAGTTTGAGCCGAGTTGGGTGTGTTTTTGTGTAAGCCTAACACGCATGAGGTCATGGGTGTGTCTCGATAGTATGTGTGTGTGCGTGTGCGAGTGTGTGTGTGTGTGTGTTGGCAAGTGATGCCGATGTCTCAAGGTCATGTTGACAGTCCACACACAGACAGCGCCACGGGAAACCACCAGCCTTGTTGACCCATTTTGTGCTTTGCGTGTGTGTGTTTGCTGCGACCTGGTTCTGGCCAAGTTGTTTGTGTAGGGAACAGTCGGTGCCACTTCACGAAAGTGTGTGTGTGTGTGTGTGTGTGTGTGTGTCTATAATTAGCCATGTGTTCTACTGCGGCCATTAGAAAATAAATATATCTTTTACAGGTTTATTCAGCGTGAATTCATATTGTGAGCAGAGACGGCCCCTAGTTGGTGCCTTGTTTGTTGTTTTTTTTCAAACCTTTTCCCTCGCCGACCTTTCGTCTAAATTTGCGCTGCAGTCTGCGTTTTTGCGCGGATAGACGTCTGTTTTAAGAGATTTCAATCTGTGCGTGCTCGGTTTTTGACGTTAGGCCAAAATGTCTTTGCCTGTCGTATAAATGAAGAGTCATGAGTTTGTACAGTTACTTTGCTGGTTTCAGCATGTCGTGTAGCCCCTCAGACTCAAACAGAAAGTCAGAGGAAATCAAGCTTCAACAGATATTAGGCACACAGCTGTTAAATATGTCATCTCAGTCATTTTATTTCAGTCCTAAAAGAGGGTGTGATCTAGGATTTTTTAAAAATTTCCTCAAGAGTCTTTGGAAAGATAAGCATCAGGTTTGCGTGCCTAAGACAAGTTAAGGTATGTGCATTCAGGGGAGGAACTATCCTGACTATTTTTCTTATGAACTGACAGGAATCATGCTTTCTGAATAAGTGTTATCTCCCCCCTCTAAGCAACCCATAGTATTTTCAGGTTTGGTATCCACCCTGTACTTTCAGGTGGAGTTGCACAAACACTTTTTTCCCCTCCTTTTTCTATTCTTTTTTACTTTGAATGTGTTGGTGTGTGAGTGAGTGTCACATCCAACTCAATCAAATATATCTTTGCCTTTCTTTTTTCTTTTTTGGTTTTAAACCGCTTAATTTAATTTTTATTTATTTTTTTACGTACATTTTTTTTAATTTAGCAGAACTTCCGACTATTGAGATAATGTTTTGCAGCGATACGGTCCTTCGATATTGTAGCCTTTAATTCAAGCCCCAGCTGAGAAGTTTTTGTGGAGATGTTTCACATCTCCACCACTTTGACGCTGTTTTCGTATCCATGCTTCAAGACGAGCTGGAAATTTCCCCGAAGCAGCTCCAATCAGCTCGTGCACAGTTATGAAAAACGTATTCCTCTTCTTTGATAAGAAAGGTTATTAATGACTCCATATGTGTGTGTTCCCCACAATTACACCGTAGTCATAAACTTTCATTTTAAAGCAATCATCTGTGAACCTGATACTTGCTACCTCTTGAATCGCAGCTATTTATTTTAATCAGTAATTCTATTGTAATGTCCACACAGGCCTCGTCTTTGTAATGAATGATGGTGTAGATACAACTGAGATCTTGCGCCACATCCAAGACCACACACATATCACCGACCTGTATAAAATCACTCTCTGATCACGAGAATTGCTTTCACAGTTTTTTTTTATTATTTTTTATTATTTTTTTAAGTTTGCATGGGATGATTCTTCATCCTCCTGGAAAACCTCATGCAGTCCAGCTCAATGTACTGTACGATATTTCTTTCAGAGCGGGCCGATCAGTGCCTGGAGGGGGGCAGACTGTGTGTGGGCCAGGTGGCTGGCGGTGGAAGCGGGGACTCCATGAGAGCAGTGCCAGAGGAAAGGACAAAGAGGAGCAAAGAGGAGCTGAGGGAGCTGTGGAGGAAGGCCATTCTGCAGCAGATCCTGCTGCAGAGAATGGAGATGGAAAACCAGAAACTACAAGGTGAACTGGATGCTTGCAGAAATTAAAGTCAGCCTGAAAAGACTCGGTAAATTGTTGCACATCTGTGCAAAAATACTCTTTAAAAAAACAAAACAGAAACGATTACAGTAAAGTGAAATCAAGCCCCACCAAAGAAGTAATCTCACTCTTCATTGAACTGCAAAGTTTTGTGATGATCCCCCATGAAATAGCCAACGTTTAGCAGCCTGAATATTGGCTTTTCCAGCAGCAAGGCCTAAATACCTTACATTAAGCCCATCCCATACACAATCACTTCAATATAGATGACAGATTGCCAAGATTTTTAAAGAAAAAGTATTTGCGGTAGCACTCTTGAACACCATTTTAATAAGTGGTGTCCATGGAAGCTTCATACGGCTGCTTTCTCTTCTGGTAAATTTGTTTCGCTTTTCTGGATTACATAAATTGGACGACCACAAATTAAGTTGTTATATAATGCCCTTTGACATAGCTCAGAGTGCGCCAGGCGCACCACCCTCTTTCATGACCTACTTGGCTTGTACCTGCACACACCCAGCTTTGCGTCACATTGATAATTACGTGCCTGATGTGAAAAGCTACTCACACGCCCAACAGCTGGTCGATTACAAAGGTCGGGATAATTGTCAATACGGCAGGGTGTGGTCAGAGATTTTTCTGTTTCAATGATGCGCAGACGCTGCCAAACTTAAAGTGATCAGGCTTTATACTCCCATGTGCGCATCTTCAGCTTGGCATGGCTTTCCTGCCTGTCCTTTAGTCTGTTGTCTGTCGATCTGCCTCTCAGTCCCCATTTGTCTGAGCGAAGCTCAACTCTGAGCCCGTCATTCCGCCTGTTTTCCTTTCCCACTACTGCCTGGTTTATGGGTGAGCTATGAAAATGCCCGCCTCCATCTCTAAGTGTATCTTTGTAAGCACTAGGGTGCGGCATCCTGTCCTGTTGTTTCTTATCAAAGGCGGAGTGTTCCGGCAGCAGAGAAAGTCAGAGAAATTAAGAGTGGGAGGCGAGGAGAGATTGTCAAGTGGAGAGATTTAGCTCCGGCGTGGACGGGCTCCAGACAGATAATAGGAGAGACGATGCAGCCACGGCCTCACCGACACCATCTATCCTGACTCTGTGTCTGCTTCTGCTCCATCCAAGTTTTCTTCCTTTATTATCCTCGCTGTACTTTCCAGGTCTTCCCTGCTATTTTTCTGCTGTTTGAGTGCTACGTCACCCAGCATTCACGAGAAAAAAATAATCCTTCTGAGGTATTCTCAGTTTACAGTTTTTCATGTGATGGGTGTTATTATTCTATGACATTCCATGCAAAGCAGCTATGATGTTATTTCAACTGCTCCGGGCTACTTTTGGCTAAAGACAATCATTAGCTAAATTCTTTCTACGGGCCATACACCTTAAATCCTAATTTCCAGGAAGGTGTCTCTACAGGTCGGAATGTATCGTTGCCCCGCTGCCTTCGTCCTGTCCCGAATGATGATATCACTGTCCTGAGCTCAGTCCAGTTGCAGATGGTCACTGGGTGGACGCCATATGTGATTGAAAAGGGAGTGGCATCCGCTTTGGGAAGGAGAGAGAGGGAGAGCGCAGCCGGAATTGGCCGAGTAAAGATCCGAGCAGAAAGGAGAAGAGATGAGTTATGGCTTAAGAGACCAGGGCAGGCAGAGGAAGGGTGTTGTCAGAGAGGAACAGTGGAGAGGGGTGATGGGTGTGCCCTCACCTTCTTTGATCACTGGTGTCAACATGTTGCAACAGAATTCAGTTACTGTATTGGTTTTTTTGGTAAGCTTCCTCAAAGTCCGGATTTACCCCTTTTTTTTTTAACTCAGAGGGGTGTTGAAGGTATCAAAACTTGGTGATAACAGGGGCAGGGAGTGTCTTGCAGTTTCTGATCCGAAATGATCCTTCTCATGCTGCAAACACAGAGCCGTGCGCTTCATGAAATAACGATGCTGCAAATTAAATAACCCAGTTTGCAGCTGCATAAACTGTACAGTGGTTTATGGTGCATTACAGTTTGGCCATACGGCTGTTATTATTTTATTGGTTTCACTCACTCATTGGTTTCACTCATTGTGCCTTTCTTGTTTTATTGGTTTGTTGAAATGACACTTTACCGTACTTTAGTCCAATTCTCATCATTCTAAATATCCTTCGGAGGTGAAATCGATGTTGATATTTGAGGTAACGTACAAAAGCGAATGCTAATGATGCCAATTTCACTTGAGAAAAAGCTGCTGGTGAATGTCTGAAGAGAGTAGAACAACAGAATCTAGACAGAGAATAGTGTGAGTTTTAACTGGTTTCATTTGTCCTGTATGTTTTAGTCAGTGGTCCTGATAGGTGGTCCTCAACTGTGGTCTGTCAGCTAACAATCCAGGCGCCTGTGAGTGCATGCAACTCGATTTTCTGCAGATTCATGCACAAGAGGAGCCGATCTGTATCTAAAGCACCAGAGGAATCAAAGAGAATGATTCTCAACATGCTGCAATTTTGCTGAAGCAAGAATCAAATAAATTCTAAAAGCTTGGTGTTGGGGGAATATCACTGTATTTAGACACAAATCTGATGTATTTTAAGTGTAGCAGAAGAAAACAGTGACAATACGTAAAAGAAAATGAAAAACCCAGATAAAAGAATGTTTTAGTTTATGTAATAACGATGCTGCAAATTAAACAGCCTGGCAACAAATAGTTGGCTACTTTAGGGTAAAAAAATTACAGTTCTCCCTTTTTTCTTTTTTTTTAACCACAGCAGCTATGTACACCAATACATTTGGAGTTGTTAAATATAGATTTTTTTCTTTGTAATTGTGTTTGTCCGATAGCTTCAGAGAGTGATCTGCAGAACAAGCGTCTCAAGCTGGACTATGAGGAAATTACTCCGTGTCTGAAGGAGGTCACCCTGGTGTGGGAGAAGATGCTTGGAACTGCTGGGAGAGGAAGGATCAAATTTGACACCGAGACCATACATGCTGCAGTTGCTCAAGGTACATAACGGCCTCCATTAAAATCACACACACACAGACTGGAATTCTCCTTTTTTTCTTCTTCTTTTTTTCATGTCAGCATATATTTGTTAACATTGGCTAAAGCTTAACTACAACTCTGAAAATATGTTTTCCTCTTCTTTTTTATTGCCAAGTGAAAAATAATGACTTTATTTCCCCCCTAGAACATTCTTACATTGTCTCTCTGAAATTACCAGAGCTATGTTCTGTCCATTGGCTTAAATCAGCATGTTTTGCACAGACAACAGGACAGGAAGGTTATCTCCTGTGCCCCCGTCCTCAAACAAAACAAAGTCCACAGCATGGTCAGGCCAAAACGAGGTCCATTTTACAATGTAAATACCTTTACAAAAACATGACTGCGGCCTTCAAGCTGAAAATACATCTGTTTTCATTGCAAAATTATTTTCAGTGTTTGTATTACTAAGAACTGGAAAGGGAAGACACCTTTTCGGTCAAACAAACCGTCCCTGACCAAAACATTACTTTTATTAAATGCCAATCTGATGCACAGCATGAATGCTATTGTGGACTTTCAACAGCCTGTAAAGATGAGATTTCCCCCCAATTTGCATTCTTGGAGTGCTGTTTGAAAGCGCTCTTCAAATGTCGGCATTCTTCTCGCCGCCCTTGTAGGTGTCCCCAGACAGCATCGAGGCGAGATCTGGAAGTTCCTGTCCGAACAGTACCTGCTCAGACAGACTGTACCTTCCCGACCCCCCTCCAATCACACACCGTACAAAGAGCTGCTGAAACAACTCACCTCACAGCAACATGCCATTCTTATTGACCTGGGTAAGAGACACACACGTACATGCAGGCAGAGACTCGCATCATCTTTTATTCTTTTCTTTTCTCTTGAAAAATCCTGAAATTTTTTAACATTGACTAGACAAGGAGATATATTGCCAGGCTTCGTATGCAGATACAGCAAGCCATTATGTCATCATCATTATTGATATTATCGGCATGGAATTAATTTGACTTGGACACATTAGCAGTACAGTAACTGACAAATCCCTCTTACGGTTGATTTTGAGCAAGAATTGTGTTGAAAGGAAGTCTGTTGCAATAACACAACAGTTTTCAAAACTAGCATCCAGGATTTTTTGTTCAAGTCTAGCAGGAAAAAAGGGACTATACTTTTAATGCATCAACAGTAACTGAAAAGGAACTAAATATATTTGGACTTTATACAAATATTCTCCATCCTTAACTACAGGTTCACTTGAAGTTCACCTTTTGGTGTGTATCAGTGTGGATCTGTCATATCTACTTAGGTCTTTACTTAATGTCACAGGAAGGAATGCTGCCTGTATTCCCCTGTGTGAAGGCTTCACATGCACGGAAGGTTGCTGTCCCCCTTTTCTGAATATTCAATACTAGATGTGACAAAAGTTAAGACACTGCATCACATGAACCGATGTAGTGTTAAATGGAAATCATTTGTCATATACGCGCGATAAAGAAATTGTGAACTGTGATCAAAATGACCAATTCGGTAATAACATTTTTATCCCAGCTACCTTTCAGTGAATCTTTGATAAAGCTCCCTTTTGAGTTGCTTTGATATAACCTCTAGATCAGCTATTTATCCAATATTATATTTCTGTACATCAATCTCACATTCTCACCCTTAAAAGTTATTTACACCTTCCACCCAAAAAACCCACATACATTGCTCTGTACCTACACCGCACCCATTTAACACCCACATACTCGTATAGGAATCACATAGACGCATCCACCCTTGTTGCATTTAACCTCGTACTGCTCAACTATTGACCCTGTGTTTAATCGACCTATTGTTACCTACTGTGTATCAGACGTGACAGTGGTAAAAGCAGAAAACTTCAGTGTTATTCTGAGGCAGAATGAGCTGTGTTTAACGTCAAGAATTAGTTACAAGGTTTGAATCTTCAGGTTTGTTAAGTGGTGCACTCGTATTCTTTACAATCTGTACCAAAACAGCTTCCCTTCAGGCAAACGAGGGAGTCGTGACATGTTCACAAACGTAAAGCCCCCACAGCTTGCAAATTCATAGGGTTGACATCGTCTTTGTAGCACACAGATGTTCTCACTTCTAAAGTACACATACCTGCTAATTATCTGCCTGCCCACATTGAGAATGTTGTTCCTTCTTTTCTCTTTTTTTTTTCCGTTTTCTTTTCTTTTTTACATGCGTGTTCCGTGCTCAGGGACATGTCAGGCTTTTAAGGAAGGCTTCAGGGTCTTCACATAAACCTAAATTTGCATTCATGTGTGTCTCAACAAACAGGTTTGCAAGCTTTTTTAGAAAATGCTCTCACACGGAGCGCCTTTCTAACATCAACAGCAAAGTGTGAAATCTGTCATCCCATAGGGAAGTTCAACAGAGTGCACCTCACTCAAACATGCTTTCACACACCCGGCAGCTACTGTCTCCAAAGGATCACTCGGCTTCGCTCAGATTGAGTCAATAAAAGCAGTGTTCCTGCGTTTCGAAAGGTGTATTGGGCTTATCTGAAACATCAGGCACCATATTTAAATGGTGACATTTCGCAATAATTTGGCTGATTTGTAAATGTGTTCCTCTGCTCCAGGTCGCACTTTTCCCACTCATCCCTATTTCCAGGCCCAGCTGGGGGCAGGACAGCTGTCTCTATACAATATACTGAAAGCCTACTCACTGCTGGACCCCGAGGTATCACCCTCTTTTTCACAGTGCATGTTTTTTTTCCTGACTTTGGTTGTGAAATTCATTGTCAGCTGTCATTTTGTTGGCTGAAGATTTAATTTTCCCCCTGTCATGTAGACCTCAGGTTGATTGCTGTTGTCATTCTAGGTGGGCTACTGCCAGGGCCTGTCGTTCATTGCTGGGGTGCTGCTTTTACACATGGGGGAAGAGGACGCCTTCAACATGCTCAAGTTTCTGATGTATGACGTGGGGCTCCGTAAACAGTACAGACCTGATATGATTATCCTGCAGGTAAAATGGACGTGCTCTCAGTACCTCTTATTATACATGCCAGTTGTAGATTTTTATTGTTTGTTCATGAAATGCAACGCAAGGTCATTTTCCTTTGTTGTCCTTGCAATGTTTAAGTAATTTGCTTAGATGTATTTTTTTATTTTTAAGAAAGATCCCCATTTATGTAGCCACGTGGTTAGTGATTCCTGGTTCATGTGGATGTTCAGATGGATTAACACTTCATGTAAGAAGGAATGAGGTTGCCCTTTAGATTTGACTACCGACATGCTCATCTTTTGCCCCGTGGTGACATGTGTCTGAGACTGAGGTAATGATGTTCGTGCTAAAGGTGCACACAGTTTGCTGGAAGTGCAACGATTATAAGTGTTATCTACCGAATGACATTTGACTTTTCTTTTTCTTTTTTTTAAATAAAAGACTTTCCATGTACAAGATCAGTGTAGATCCAAAGGGGAGATACAGTATCTGGATGGGCTTTTACAGGATGGGTGAGACATTTCCAAGTGGTGTCACAGCAAGTTGCTTGTCTTTACAATTTGAGTACACACAATCTATCCTTTTGATCACAGACAGAAGGAGGGGAACAAACACCTAAAGGTTATGTTGAGCCCTTCATCTCTGCTGGGATGACCACAGATAATGGTTCGTGTGCTGGCACGCATCGCATTTTTCTAGTCTGTTTGTCTCTGATCTTCATGAGCAGAGCATCTTTTACCTCCATGCATCGGTTTTAACTTTGTCCAAATAGATTTTGTGATATCAGTACGTCTCGATCTGGCTGTCAGGCAACAGACTAGAGTTGATCTAAAGGGGTTTTGGAGTATGTTCTCATTACAAATTTTTTCATAATTTTTTTTAGAATTCTGTAAACTCTTTTCAGTTAAAAATAATTTGGTTTATGTTTTCAATATTAAAAAAGTGTTAATTCCTAAACTGGAGGGCTAATATATCAGGCTTGACTGGGTGGTAAATGATTCACATGGTTCATAGGCTGAGTGCTCCAACTTAACTTTAAATCACACCCAAAGGGCTTCAAGAGGTAAAATATTTAGATGATATGGCTGTGATTTTTTTTCAATTAAAAAAGACCCCAATATAATTTATGACAGAAATTAAAATGGCAATAAAAGTTACAAAATTTTTTTTTATTTGTGAATAAATAGTTGTAAAGGACTGTAAACTTAGAACCTTAGAAACTTAGAGCTCTACCTCCCATTTGTTGATCTACATATTAAACTTTATTATCAAGGTTTATTTCAGGACAAAAGTGGAAAAGGGTACCCCTGACTGCTTTATGTCCCCCTCCAGTCAATGCCCCTCAGTTAGTACAACTGAGAATCGTTTAAACAAAAATTAGAATATTTTGATTAATGTATTTTTAAAATGTTTAAAATGCAGTATCATGAAATAGTAAGTATCTTTATTGATTGGTTATTCATTTAATTTTGAATAACTTCAGCAACGCTGCCATGTTGACCTCAATGAGACCTGGGGGACTAAATAAAGAACCTAACAGAAGAAAAAAGAGCAGGTCTGGACTAAATCGCGCTTAACTTCCTTCTTCGGTTCTTCTGTTCTGCTTGTCTGCATGCTGTCAAGTTGCTCTGTGAAATTTTGGAAGATTAAAGATTAAAAACAGGCAGCACCTCTGCATCCCTTTATCATTGTCAGCCAAAAGGACCTCACTCAGGTTCCTCTGGTTTTCTTTTTTTCTTCTTTTTTTGTAATGGGCCCTGGGGTCTGACGGTGCAGTTGAAGTGGCTATTACATGCTGAGAGAGTAGTGTGACACGCGTTCATTTGCACAGTTACAGTTGATTTCCAACTTGGTGTGGAGGGAGCCCTCAGAGCTCAGGGAGGGTAGGATTGTTTTGTTCTGGCAGGATCGGTGTGAAACAACAAACTACAGGAGGCAGTTTAGTTGTATTCTTTACATCGATTTGTTGTCGTTGTCAAACACAACAATATGAATTTTGCCCCAATGGTGTTAATCGTCGTTTGTGTTTGGGCTCCACAGGAGTACCGCAGCACTTTTCCTTTATTTAAGTTTATCCTCACAGTCAGAGAAGCCCAAATAAAACCCACCTCTGGTGTCTCTCTTGTCAGATTCAAATGTACCAACTGTCGCGCCTACTCCACGACTACCACAGAGATCTGCACACCCACCTGGAGCAGCAGGAGATCGGGCCCAGCTTGTACGCCACCCCCTGGTTCCTCACTTTATTCGCCTCGCACTTCCCTCTGGGCTTTGTGGCCCGCGTTTTCGGTAAGATCTCGTGTTTCTGCGCCCACAGTTTTGCACAAGCCCCTTCAGAGGAAGTCACACAGACACGCACATCTCTTTTCTTTCATTCTAATTGACCTTTTGTCATTTGCTTTTGTGTCTTATCGCTACTCTTTCATTCTTGCGCCAGCTATTGTTTTGTTGCCTAATTTCTTTTTCATTGCCCCGCAGCTGAACCAGACTAACTGACTCCTCGTGTTCAACCGAGCATGACAATGCGCGTTTGTGTGTGCTTGCTCGACTGTGAGGGCATCATCATGTTTGTGCCATCACATGTTAGATATAGTTTGTGTGGCTCCAAAGCACCACTCCCTTTTCTTAATCTTGTGTATGATCTCATGGTGCCCTGCCCAACACCATACCTCACCCTCATGTGCTAAAGTGCATACTGCAGCACGCAACACAGGTTCACCCCAACCTATAGTTATGTTTGTTTAAGTGTTTTATATTGACGTCAGTTCATCCATCTTTCACAGTCGCTGTTAATTGACTATCAAATACAATAAGCTCCCTTGTCAGCGCCTGTCATTATTTGTCTCACACGTTCACGTCACAGCTTTTAACATCCTTCCATCTCTTTGTCTCGTATGTCTTTTTGTTGACTTATGCTTTCTTTCTTTCTTTTTTTCCCCTTCTTCCTCAGATATGTTGTTCCTTCAAGGCTCAGAGGTCATCTTTAAGGTAGCTTTGAGCCTGCTGGGGAGCCACAAGCCTCTCATCCTACAGCACGACAACCTGGAGTCCATAGTGGACTTCATCAAAACCACGCTGCCCAACTTGGGCCTGGTTCAGATGGAAAAAACCATTAACCAGGTAAGGTTCTCAGGGATAAGTAATCGGTCCTACTCCACTGGAGAACAACACAGACAGACTCCTCCAGTCGTACTTTCATGAACTGATGTCATTTTTGGAACACTTTACATCATATTGTTTCTTTTTCTTTTTCTTTTAATTAATGGGGAAAAAAGAAAAAAAAACGCTCGGATAGTTTATGTCGAAGAACCAGCCCTTCATCATATCATTTTTTTTCACGTCGACAGCTCCCACGAAAAGCCAGTGCATGGCGAGTCATGGCAGGTTTATGATTGGCTCATTTTACACTAGAACGCATTAGTTTAGGAAATCAATCACTCGTTACGCTTCGTTGAAGTAAAAATCCTAAAGCTAAGTTCAACAGAGCAGCAGACCCGACAAAAAAGAGGCGCATGTATTAGTTTTTGTCAAGTTTGTCATGTCCCTTAGTTTGTCATGATTACAGGAAGAAAAATGTGGCGATACTTTGATTTGCCTCACAACTGTCAGCTCTGTAGACAGAACCTCTATTTGCATAGACTGGACAACAGGAAAGTCGGTGGCCTGCGAAGCTCCTGCTAAGCGTCGGAAAGACTTGTTTTTGGATTACGTCTGTGTTTAACTGCTTTGTTTTTTTGACCAGGTCAGATTTAACCACTCACTGTTGCCTTTAGATAAAACCGATGATGCCGCAAAAGGCTACTTGTGTGCACCCCGCCCAGCTGTTGAGCAGAGCAGCAGCTGGGAGTGGAACGCCATTTAGATTTTTATGTCATACCTCAGTATTTTGAGTCGACTGTGTCAACAACGTCGGGCGTACCTGCCACACGACTGGTGCATTAGCGTTGGATGATTTAAAAGTTAACACTTGTAGAATTAGTCATGTGTCGTCAGGCGATTGATCCAAAGGAGTCTGAAGATGTTATGGAGGCGTGCCACATGTTATTCAGTATTTGCTCATCTTTAAATTTAGCTTGAGATTACAAACTGGTTTATTGGGGACTCTTTCCCTCCATTGCTACTTTTCCAGTTTAGAGCGTCCACATGCCGGCTGTGGCGTGACTCACAGTTTCAGCAGGAAGCAGGATAATGACATCGAGAGTTGTTTTTTTTTTCTTTCTTTCTTTTCCTTTCTGTTTTTAGGAATGTGGCTTTCATTTAACTGTTAGGCTCGGCATAGGTTGAAACTCTGGTCACGTGTGGCAGCTTTATATTACTTGGTGTGTCGGATTCAGCTTTCATATTTGAGGATAGGACTGAGAACGTATAGGAGAGGGGGCCACAATCAATGTGTTATGAAACATTTTTAAAACACGTCCACACAAACACAAAAAGAGCCGCTTTCCCGCTGCTGACGGAGCCCGTATGTTGGAGAGCAACCCTGCCTTTGAACTGATCATTTTTTCTAATAATTATACAGAACAATATGCCTCAAAGTGTTTCAGACTGAAAAATGTCATTCAACAAACCTTCTTTCCTTATTTTTAAAGAAGGAAATCCCGATCTGATCTCATTTTCTGCCCATCTGCCAATTTTGATCAGATTTCACCCATCAGATTTCCTAGTAATCTTGCTCACTGGCAAACAAACAAGTGCAGCTGAAAAAGCTGTCAACGCCTCAGCTTTAATTACACAAAGTACTCTTAAGTAAAGAGTATGATAAAAGGAAAGGCCTTTAACAATAGGTGAGTGACACCGGTGAACTTTGGTGATGGCCTCCACCCTTCTAAGGGGATTTTTTTTTTTTTTTCTTAAATCTTGTGTCTGCTTTCACCCAATGGTGACATAATTCTACGTCAGTCGCGAGCTAGGATGGTTTGAAAAATGGGAAAGCTGCTGTGCTCATAACGAGAGCTTTAAGGTCTGAATAAATCTTAAACCATATCCGTGTTGCTTTTAAATGTCAGGTTTGTGAGATGGACCTGTCTAAGCAACTGCAGGCCTACGAGGTGGAGTACCACGTGCTGCAGGATGAGCTGCTGGACACGCCTCCAACGCTCAACCAACAGCAGCGAGCCGCACAGCTTGAGAGAACCAATCAGAGCCTCCGACAACAGAACTTGGACTTGCTGGAGGAGCTGCAGGTACATGGCCACACCGGCAAAAAAAAAAAGAAAAAGCCGAAATCCATTTGCCGTCATTCACGTCAGCCGTCTGCCCCACACAGGTGTCCCACGCACGGGTCTGCAGCCTGGAGGGTCGGGTGGAGGCTTTGGCGCAGTCAGAGGAGCGGCTGAAGGAGCAGGTGTCTGCCCTGGAAGAGGAGAAGCGGCAGCTCCTGAGCACGGTCGCCCACCTCCAGAGCCTCCTCACCAGCCCCGATGGACACGAACCCCCCCGGCCCGCTGACAGACACTCGGACTCCGAGCCCGACCCGTCGGTGCCCCCAACCGATTTGTAACTGCTCCCTGATGGAGCCGTAACGTCTTCTGACGGAGGAGCCAGCCGCAAAACAGCCCCTAAAGGACTGTGGCAGCTCCCGACATCAAACGCCCCCTCCTCGAGAATATTTTAACTAATAGAAGAGACACAGGGGAAAAAAAAGAGGAAATAAAGCAAAGTATGAGTTTAAATGAGAGTATGGGGGGAGAGGGGCACGTCGGCAGCCCCACAGTTAGCACTGACCCACCGGGTCTCTCTACTGTAAAAGCACATCACTTCTTTGACCTTGTACGTTTTGATCTTAGAGAGTATTTTTGTGATTTACTCTGTCGGAATGCAACAAAGCAAAAATGGCCAAAGAACAGCCCCCACAAACACACACACACACCTTTCCCCCTCCTCTCCTCCACGCGCTTTAGCTTGGAGAAAAAAGATTCCACTGCTCAGTATTCTTAAACAGAAGTGACGATTACTGTTACTTAAAAAGCAATTCTGGGGAAGAGGAGAAAAACGGGTCAGAAAGGCTAAGAAACTCATCACCACAGTGTTTTCATATGAAATAATAAGAAATTCATATAAGATAATAATGATAATAATTCCGCTAAATGTGGCGAGCATTGGATGTCGGTGCAGAAATTGAGAGTCTGAGCTTAATTTTTGGGCTTCCACCCCAGGCATTTCATCCCAGGCTTCCATACTTACGGGCGTTTTCACTGGGGTTTGGCCTCTGCCGCTCACAGGAAAATTAACACAATATATCCAGTCCATTTCAAACATCCTGTTTTGTTTTTTTTCCCCACCTCTGAACATGCAAATTTTCAGACCGCCGCTCTCCTGTTCGCCCGCAGACTCGAAACCAATCGACTCCCATAAATCACAACACGCCCGGGTGTGACACTTGCAACTTGCGCCATGGAGACAATCATTCACCTGTAGATCATTTACTGTATTCAACACTGAACACGTGCGCCCGGGCTGCAGCTTGCCGTGCGTTCGGTTTGTGGACGTCTGAATGTTACTGTGTTCCTCGTGCACTCCAGTGATTGCAATAGACCTCCTTTGGTTTACACTGTAAAGATGTTTTTTTTTTTGCTTTTACCCCAACACTTTGTTGCACACGCTTTCTGTTTTATTGATTTGTGTTTTTGTTGTTGTTACTTTGAAAATACAGTTCCTATTCTTTCAGCACCTCAGAAGTCAGACTCGTCTTTGTGTGTGGCCTCAGAGCTCCGGTGTCAGGTGGGACATGAAGGCAGCGCGGCCTCCTGTCTAAACACGTCGGTCCGCTTCGACGCTCCGGCCTGAAAACCCACTGCTCACAGACGGGCCCGCGTTCGCTTCCAGGAGCGCCGTCCTTAGGCGGGAAGAGCATGCCGGGACAGGTCGCGCCTCTGTCAGTAAGCATGTACTGTGTGTATTTACACAACTGAGAAAAAAGGAGCAGCAGAACTGAAGACTGTTCAACAGCTACTAGGATTTTTTTCTTTTTTTCTTTTTTCCCTCAGGTGACTGTGACGGTGATTAGATTTCCTCCAAATTCTAGTCAAAGCAGCAAGAGTCTGAGCTCCTCGCATTCCTGAACCTGCTGAAGGTGGGGCCATAGTTGTAATAAGTCAGCTGTTTCTAGAACAAAAAAAAAGAGGATTTTTGGAGAAAAACTCCACTGGTTAACCATAGCCTACTCTAAGGTTTGATCTATGGTTCTGTTTTCACACATATCTGAAAGTGTGACCAGCAAAAATCTGTTGAGAAAAAAACCCAAAAGATGCAATCAATATTACTGCTGTTTGAAAGCTCGGAGTTTAGTCGTCAGAATTAAGAGTTTCTCATCTGACCTCTGATAGTTTTCTTAGGACCCCTGGCGGTCAAAGCCAGGTTCATGGACAGTGTTTTGCATCCTCACTGAGTTCGATTCAGTTGGGAGTTTTATAAATAATAGGACGGGAGAGTGAGGGTTATGGATTTCATCTGTCCGATGTAATGTATTCTAACCTACCACTCAGTAACACAACCCCAACAGCAAGTTCCAGATAAAGAACACGGAGCTATTTAACGGGATTGCACTCTAAGGTTTGGATGACCGGCCCGAGTTGCCCGTATTTACTCAGCCTCCGTGTTCAGACACGGCCCAGTGCAATTTGGAACGGTTGCACTTTCATCACAGCTGACCCACTTCGCCGCCGTGCTTTCATTGATCAGTGAAAGGGTCCTCTGCTTTCCGTCAGATTAAAAGAAAACTGCATTTCTACTCCCTCCGATCATTTTCTGAGCTCGGACCTGGCCCCGTCTTGGTCGCGAGAGGGACTGGGAGCTTTGGCCTTTCCCCTTCTCAGACATGCAGGATGAGCACAGATGTAAGAGTCCCACTTGCTGTATGGGAGGAAGTCTTTGAAATGGTTCCGGTTGCATTTCCTGTAGATACTGTGAATAAACAGATGTTTAGAAATGGGGTGGGGGGTGGGGAAAATACAACAGAATTATTCAAATAATTTCTGCTGGAAAAACTGAGGACGTTTTGGCACGTTTGTTCATGCATCAGCCATTTGCTAGGTTGGATTTAGACGAACACAACCTGACGAACAAGAGTCCTGGCGCTATGGAAAAATTCTGGAATCTCAAAAGGCTTGAAAGCCCTGGATTTTCCAATGGTTTATGAGCAAAGCGTTGGCTAACAATGACTTTCAGTGGAATGAATCACTTCACAATGAGGCTGCGTTTGACACCAGAGTCCCCGACAGACCCGAAGTGTTACGTCACCTGAATGTATGAACCTAAAAACTGTGTGTGTGTATATGTGGAGGGGGGGGTCTCCATCCAAAGTAAACACTCGGGCCGAATGGAGTTTTCCATGCAGCGGCAACAAGGAGAGTGGACTTTTAAACCTGACCGCCAGACCCGGACACACCGGAAGCTCCGGGTTCAAATTGACCGTAGCACAGTCTGGCGGCCTGCCGCGTCCGAGGTCTCATAGGTCGCGCAGAAGTGTCTTTTCCGCCGTCATGTTCCTGGGGTTAAAGCTTTACGCCTTCTCTGGATGATTGAGCCTTTACGCCGCGTAAACGTTTTAATTTGGTTTGATTTTTTTTTTTAAAGCTCCGAATCACAGCGAATGCCAACCCGAGGTGTTTCATAGACAGTCAAGGGCCAATTTCGAGCCCTTTACAGCTGTGTGTGTGCGAGCATGCGTGTGTGCGTGTGTGTGTGTGCCTTTGCAGAATGCAAGGGCTTGTCCCATTACTCGGAGTTTAGTTTTATTTGACTTGGCATCTGTTTACCCTCCCATACGCTACCTAAACCCTGCCCTGCCCTGCTTTGAGCCTCACTCCTTGTCTGTAACCTCCTAAAAACAGACTCTTAAATAGGCGAAGCGGAAATTTCCCAGCCAGCGATCCTACCTTTCAGTCCATATCAGCTCCGTCTTGATGGGACCTGTGTATTCGGAGCGTTTCCCGGGATATCGTGCCCGCCAGATATTTCTTTTGGAAGTTCATTTCTAGTCCATCCTTAACCTGAGAAAAAGATTAATCATCCTTGATTATTGCAACCGGTGTCAGCACTGTGTCAGCTCCCAGATGTGATATATATACACATACACATTCCATTGGAGTTTCTTTTTTTCTAATTTAGAATTTTATAGTTATTTGAAACCCTTATTACCTTTTCTAATAAAGTTCTCCTATAAATGAAAGGTTACACCCAACTTCTGCCTCCTATGTGGAGAAAGTCATCATTATGTTGTGCCTTTTTTTCTTTTTAATTTGACTTTCCCTTCACTCTCATTTCGGCCCAAATGCCAAAATGTCTCTTTTTAAAATCTAGGCAATAACCAGTCTCATCCAATGAGGCCATAGCAGTTCCAAAAGCCCTAGCCAAACACACCACACACACACCACACATCCAAGCCAAATTTCTTCATGGGTCCTGCACCAAAGCAGCCACACAGCATGCTTGCACTTCCGCCATGTTTTACTGATGATATGTTGTCAATTTACCGGCTGGTTTGATGTGACGTTTGCTGTTTAGTATGTTCTAACTGCTAGGTTTTCAATCAAAAGAGGATACAGTTAAAGAATTTTTGGTTAATGTCCATTTCTTGTGGAATCATGGACATCTGTTACAGTAAATCTTTAAGAAAAGAGTCTGTTTCGTATTCCAGTGGGTGTAACCTTTGCTACACCTTTTTGTTGGCTGGGTGTCAGTGAAACAAAGCCAAACCTGAATAAAGGTGTTATAAAAAAAAAAACCTGTACAATTCCACATGGATGTGTATTTTTGTTGGAGCCTATCACTGCTTCTCTCCTGTCCTTAAGGTTGCTTTCTGCTCCAATTACTGACTTGGTTGGTTCCAGAGAGGATTTCTGTGGCTCATCTCTGGTGTCCTGCTGATCTGAGGCTGAGGTTTAACTTTAGGCTAAGGGTTTGCATCAGCCCGGACCAAATGAACTCAATTTAATGCAACGTCGCTGTAAGAATAGCCGCACAGGCTTCTGTGTTTGTGCATTTGATCACGCCAAGCAGACTTTGCAGGTTTAAACCACCAGTAAACATGTCGCTGTTGCGTAATGTTGTGTTCTACGTATTCCAGTGTAATCCAACAAAATGTCAATCATTCTGCGTGTGCGTTTGTGTGTACCCTTCCACAGGCTTCTTGAATGACAGATTACAAATGACTGCACTTCCAAACACTCCCTTCTTGCCTCCTTTATATTAGTTCCTGTGCTCCTTCTGCAGCGATCAGCATATTGTTGCGTGCCGTCTAGTGTTATTTATATGTCGTTTTCCAAATGCATTTTTCTGTAATAAAAATGATTCTGATTTGAAGTGCTCCAATTAGAATTGACTCAAAAGTAAGAAGCAAGCTTTCCTTTTGTTAGCAGCCAAAAAATAAGGCAGAATGCTCTCTTTCAAGACTCACGTGAGACAAAAGTACTGTAACATAGTTGCGGATCATGTGGACCTTTTTTTCCCCATTAGAGCAGTTGTGAAACCGCTGTTGAATAAGTTAAACCATGATAATTTTGTGAACTCAATGCCTCCCTGTTGTCTCGAGATGAGGGTGGAGCGTTTAGGGAGTGTCTGAGGTGATAAACTGTAATAAATAAAGGAAGCAGATATAAAGATATGTTGGTCTGAGCAACAGTCAGCAGCCAGCCGCCGGCATTTTAAAGGAGAGATGATTTATGACTGCCTCATTTCATAATCATCATTGAAAGTAAAATAAGATATGTCTGACTCAGTGACCACACAACATTAGCGCTGTTGTTGTCTCTTTCATAACTGTAACAAAAGCACACCTCATGAGAAATTAGTTTTATTTATAGTTAATTCATTCTTTTGATGCAAAAGCCTCCCAAACAGAAATCAAAGTGATGTTATGCCTGTTGATGGCTGAGTTTTGCACAGCGCTGAATACCAGAGACACAGGTTGCATATCTTATGCACATGAATGTGCTGAAAGCCTTGGTGACAGTTTTTGTTTCTTCAATAGTCAGTTTTGATCAAAGCCTTACTCTGATGCACGTGCCATGCCGCATTCAGGTTTTTCATGTCTTTGAAAGCGAGAACTTCAGGAAAATGAGCTGTTGTTGCTTTCGGGTTACGCCTCAACAGAAAAGTTGCTCTTTTTCCAATAAAACTCAGAGGCTGACGATCAAGCCGCCAGCATAAAGAATGTGTTGCTGCACTTGTTGCAGTCTAAGTGCAGAATGGCCTGTTTAAAGTGCCTGTTTCAATTTCAGCAGGCAAACATAAGAGAGTGGGAGTAACTAGACTAAATGTGTCATTTGTGAGCTGAGATTCCCCCCCACCCCCTTCTTTTATATAAGATAACACAGTTGACTTCTAGGGGTTGGTGAATCAGAGACTTTATTGTTATTTCATCCTGAATTCGGGCACTTGTGTGGTGACTCGTTCATTGGGGTACACATGAGCGCTGCCATCCACAGACCTGTTCTTCCAGTACTTTGTAAATTGAAAAAAAATGTCATTCAAATGGAATTTATCCATTTTATGGTCTCCACAGCTGTTACAATACATGACATAGTGAGCCCATGAACAGCCCTGCCCGGGTTATCTCTCCCAAAATGAAACTAATTTTACTCCATTACAGACGATAGTGCCAATGAAAAATTCATAACGTATCAAAATGATAACTCCTTTCTGAGTACCACAGGATAGAAATAAGAAAGGCGTGAGCGGGAAGGCTTAAGTACGCAGAACGCTCGGGCCAATCCGACCACCACTGCAGGCCGCAGTCTCTGTGTGAGTGACCTCAGAGTGTGAGAGGCTCGGGTTATGAAAGAGACGGATTGTTGTCGTCCTGCTGAGTCACAGACTGCTAACATGGAGCAGCGGGGCCAGCGGAGAAACACATCCTCACAGGAAGACTGGGGAGAGATGATGTTACGCCGGTGTTACGCATGTGTGTCCATGTGTGCTTTTGTGTCCGTGTGTGGAAGGGTGTTTCTGTTTGTTGAAGAAGGTCAGGCGCCACAGTCTGGGTGTGACCACCGCCGTCCTGTCAGCACATCAAGTGTCTGCAAAAACTCCTCCCTTCACCCCCCGCTCCCTCTCCCTCTGTCTCTCCTTCTTTCTTCCTCGGTTCCTCAGAGCCAGGGTGTAACCAAGACTCTACTTGTCAGTTTTTCAGATCTGTAAAAGGAGAGGGGGGCTGTGTGTGTGTGTCTGTGTTTGTGTGTGTGTGTGCGCGTGTGTGTGTCCGTGCGTGTGACAGGCTAACAGGCAGAGGCAACAAGCAGGTTCACTCGAACAATAAAGCTGCGGGTTATTTCTGAACCCTGGAGAGGAAGCTCTACTCCCTTCAGGGTGGGGAGACGATTCA